GGGCCCTACCCCGAGTCGGCCGCGCCGCGCCGCGCAAGCACGCACGACGCTGCCTGCATTCGACGAGCAGTCGTGACCGAGTGGTTAAGGTGACTGACTAGAAATCAGTTTCCCTCTGGGAGCGCAGGTTCGAGTCCTGCCGACTGCGACTTCTTTTTTCAGTCCCACCGTTCGTTCACCCACGCTCCTGCATAACCCCACCCACCCATTCGCCAGTCAATGGTCGCTCGTTATGTTGGGTAGATATAATTGTTCGGCTTTCAGCGAGTGATTTTCGAATTTTATGCGCCGTACCCAAAGGGGCAGGTTATGTATCAACAGTCGGCCCCACTTCACCTGCTCGCCACGGCCGGACTGCATGCCGCATGGAAGGTACGCGTCTCATCGGCCGCCATGCCGCCTGTCACAACTTTGGCCACATCCCTGCGCTCCACACAAAGGCGTGATCTCGACAAGGGGCTTCACCGACGCGCCTCCCCAGAGCCGGTCAGACTCTCGGCGTGCCGCTGCTCCTCTTATAGCCTCGTGAATCATGCTGCTACACAAGCCCGGCTAGCTCAGTCGGTAGAGCATGGGACTCTTAATCCCAGGGTCGTGGGTTCGAGCCCCACGTTGGGCGTTCTCTTTTCTACGCCATCTTTCTATCGACCTTCTCCTCGCACAGTGTCTCGCGTCTGCCGCTCACAACGATAGTGCAGTCCGGTATGGTCTAGTGGCTAGGATACCTGGCTCTCACCCAGGAGGCTCGGGTTCGATTCCCGGTACCGGAATCGTTTTGCCCGCCCCTTCTCATGCAGCGATCCCCGTATTCGTCCCTTCAGTAGCATTCAGCGAATTCGCACGGCGTCATGTGACGAGGTGGCCGAGTGGTTAAGGCGTTGGACTGCTAATCCAATGGGCTCTGCCCGCGTGAGTTCGAATCTCATCCTCGTCGTCTCGTCCTCTTTTCTCGTTTTCCCTCGCCCCGCCGGTGTAGCAGAATCTCAAACGGCGAGCAATGACGGCAACATCATGCGGTCCCATGGTGTAATGGTTAGCACTCAGGACTCTGAATCCTGCGATCCGAGTTCAAATCTCGGTGGGACCTGCCCTTTTGAGGTCTCACGCGATCACACAAACCCCTCTGGTCGGGCTTGCCTCGGAGCCCGTCGCCACGTCGCCTCCATAGCTCAGTGGTTTAGAGCACCAGTCTAGTAAACTGGGGGTCGAGAGTTCGATTCTCTCTGGAGGCAGGACTCCTCGTTTTGAGACCCCGACTCAAGAAAGCGACACCGTATTGCTCCTTGCCGTGTTTGAGCAGTGCTGTACGCCGAGGTCCGTTGGTCTAGGGGTATGATTCTCGCTTAGGGTGCGAGAGGTCCCGGGTTCAAATCCCGGACGGACCCTCTCTTTTTGAGACCACCTTTCATATGTAAAGGAGCGTCAGCATTCTGACTTAAAGTTTTAAAAAAAGAAACGTAAAAAATGGAGCCTCTCCGGCGGGGAATCGAACCCCGGTCTCCCGCGTGACAGGCGGGGATGCTGACCACTGCGGGCACCGCCTTCTATCTGTGTGTGCGTTGCGCGTCGTCTGCCATGTCTCCCGCGTGCCGTTCGCGTCAAGTGTTTGAGTGACGTCACGCCCCGCCGTTTCTCCCCGAAGGCAAAGGTGCCGCGCCGCCAAAAACTGTCCGGGTCGGTGGGTCTCGATCCCGGGACCCCCGCGTGCCGCGCCAGTGCGCTACCGTCTGCGCCATCGCACATGCCGCATCCGCCATGTCGCGCCTCATAATTGTAGTGCCACTGGGAAAGACTTTTCCATGCCCGCTATGCCCGACCGCGAGCCCCGTGAGGTCGCTGTCAGCGCTCAAGCGGCACGTCGCGCGCATGCACGGCGTCACGGACAGCAGTGCGCGCTGCGTCGTGTGCGACGCCCTTTTCCCGGACCGGCGCACCGCGACGCCCCACCTCGTCAAGGCCCACGACATCAAGGGGGACGGCGACCACGACGCGACGGTCTGCGAGATCGTGCCCGACGGGTTGCCTGCCGACCCGGAGCCGGCCGCCCAGTCGCCGCCGCCCTCGCCCGTGCCGGATGGGTTGCCTGGCACCCCGGCGCTGGGCGACGCGCCGCCCCCTCCACCGCCCGCGTCGAGTGGGCTGCCTAGCAGCCCGGCGCCGGGCGACGCGCCGCCGCCACCACCGCCTGTGCCGGACGGGCGGCCTACCCCGCCGGCGCCTGCTCCACTGTCGCCGCCCGAGCCAGAAGAGCTGCCTGCCCTCCCGGCTTCAGGCACTGAAGATACAGTCCGAGCGACTCCAGAGGCTACCGCCCCAGGTTCCCCGGTCTCGGCCGCGGTCCCGGACGGGGCGGTCCTGGCCACGTCACACAGCAAGGGCCCTGCCCCCAGGCAAGTACAGACCAAACGCCTTGAAGTACTTCCCCACTCGCAGAGTAGTAGTGCCTCTCCTGCACCTGCAGCCCTGGGGCAGGCGAGCCCGCCGACGTGCGCCCTCCCCTCGCCGTTCAACCGGACACCATGCAGGCCGTCTCCGCGGATGGCCTCGGCGACCTCGACGGCCAGCCGCCTCCGCCGAATGCACTTCAAGGCGAGGACCCCGCCGGCGCTGCGCCGCTCCCCGATCGTCAGGAACGTGCTGCTGCCGTCGCCGCCGGACATCAGGGCCGCGCCGCTGCCCACTCAACCGGCCGCCCCGCGGACCCACAGGGACGGGGCCGCCGCAGAGGCTACACCCCAGCGCGCCCCCGCCTTGGCTTCGGCCTCGGTGGCGGCCGCAGACGGGGTGTTAACGGCCACGCTACGCAGCACGGGTGCTGCCCCCAGGCAAGTAGTACCCAATCCCTTTACCACTCTGCTATCTTGGAGCAACTCCTGGGCCGTGCCTTCCTGCCCAGGTGCCTCAGCGTCGACGTCCAGCGCCGCAGCACCCGTCCCGCCCCTGGCGGCAGAGGCCACCTCCCAGCAGTCCCCTGCCCCGGCCTCGGCCCCGGCGGCGGCTGCGGACGGGAGGTCAACGGCCACTCAACAAGGCACGGTTGCCTCCCCCAGGCAAGTAGCTGCTGGTCAATGTGCTTTCTTCCGTCGAGACGCACCTCTGCCCAGTCCTTCCTGTGCAGGACGCGTCTGGCCGCCTCCGTCGACGTCCACACCGCCTAGACTCGCTCCTCGCCTCCAAGACTCACCTGCTCCGAGGACTCCTGGCGCCGCCAGCCCTGTGGACAGCACCTCGCCCCACAGCCAGCCGTCCCCGGCCAGCTTGGCAACTCCACCCGCCGCCAAGGTCAGCCGCCGCCAGCAGGAATGGCTCGACAAGATCCACGCCGCAGCGAGCTGGGAGGACTTCGAGGAGGTCGTCGCCGCCTTTACAGCGTCCGTGCAGCCGAAACCCACCCGCAGCAAACCTACAGGCAACGCCCGAGGAAGAGGACGTGGCCCAAGACGGGGACGGGGACGAGGACGTGGACGAGGACGTGGAGGAGGCGCCCGCCAACCCCAGCGCAACGACGAGTTTGACGTGGAGGAGGCCAAGAGGATTCAACAGCTCTACTTTGCCAACAAGAGGAAAGCCATGCGGGAGGTGCGCGAGGAAGACTCACCGCTCTGCGCCGTCGAGCCGGAGAAGGTCGCCGCCCACTTCGACGAGGTGTTTGCTCGGAGGACGCCGGACCTGGACGAACGGCCTCCAGACCTCGTCTTGCCGCCCCGCCAGGCCGAAGAGCCCAAACTCGTCGAGCCCATCACCGCCGCCACCGTGGTGAGGCGGCTCCAACACGTGTCGAGCACCGCCCCCGGCATCGACGGCATCATGTACAGCCACCTCAAGGCCGCGGACCGCGGGGGCCACGTCCTCGCCGCCATACTCACCGTGTGCCTGCAGCAGAAGAGGATACCGTCGGTCTGGAAGGAAGCCCGCACCATCCTGCTCTTCAAGAAGGGGGACATTTCCGACCTCACCAACTGGCGGCCAATTTCCCTAAGCAGCTGCATCTACAAGTTGTACACAGGCATCCTCGCCGATCGCCTGGGTCGCTGGGCTGGCCGCACTGGTGCCATCTCGAAAGTCCAAAGGGCTTTATGCCAACGGAAGGATGCCTTGAGCACAACTTTGTACTCCAGCAGGCAATCGACGAGACCAAGCACTCTGGAAAGGAGCTGACAGTCACGTGGCTTGACCTCAGAAACGCCTTCGGCTCCGTTCCGCACAGTGCCATCTTTCACCTTCTCCGCCTGCACGGAGTCCACAGGCACCTCATCGAGATAATCGAAGAGCTCTACAGTGGCTGCACCACTACCTTTGTAACGGCCAGCGGCGAGACCCGCCTGGTGAAGATGGAGGCTGGGGTTAAACAAGGTGACCCCCTCAGCCCAATTGTGTTTAACCTTGTTATCGAAGTACTCATTCGTACTACCCTGCGGCTCGGCGAGTGCCACGGCTTCGTGGTGCTCGGCCAGCGGGTCACCTGTCTAGCCTACGCCGACGACTTAGTGCTACTCGCATGGCGTCGCCAGAGTATGCAAGCACTGCTAGACGCGGTCAGCGCTGCTGCCACCTGGCTAGGCTTAGAGTTTAACGGCGCCAAATGCGCTACGCTACACATCCAACAGAAGAAGTGCGTGCCAGCCCAAACTACCGTCCAGGGACAGCCAATTCCATGCCTATCAGAAGGCCAGGCATACCAACATCTTGGTGTCCCGACTGGACTGAAGATTGACCAGACACCGGACCAGACAATCAAGTCTATGCGAGAAGATGTGCAGAAGGTGTCTGAAAGTCTGCTCACGCCGTGGCAGAAGCTGGATGCCCTCCGCACGTTCGTCCTGCCACGCATCCAATTCTGCCTCCTAACCTCCAGAGTGCGCAAAGGAGCATTCCAGCGCCTCGACGCGGAAGTGAAGGCCGCCGCCAAGAAGGCCCTCTTCCTGCCCCGCCGCGCCAGCCCGGAAGTCGTGTTCCTGCCGACGTCCCGCGGAGGCGCCAATCTCCTCCCGCTCGGCGACATGGCCGACGTGGCCGCGGTGGTCCATGCATTCAAGGTGCTCACTTGCCCGGACAGGACCGTCCGCATGCTCGCCGAGGCGTCCCTGAAGCAGTGTGTGCAATACCGCGTCGGCAGGATGCCCGAACACATCGACCTGGCCGCCTTCCTGTCCGGCGCCAAGATGCGGGAGAACCATGAACACGCCAGCATCTGGACCGCGGCCCGGAACGCGACGCGCCGCCTCAGCAACAAGATCCACGGCCTCTGCTGGGAGTGGAGTCCCACTCTGCAGCGCCTCACCGTGTGCGTGCCCTTCAGCGGCAGGCAGCCCGAGGTCGCCAAGGTGGACGTCGAATCACGCCGCCTGCTTCACTCCAAGCTGCGCCAGTGCGTCCAACACCACCATCACCGCCGCCTGCTGGCCAAGCCCGACCAGGGCAAGGTCTACGACTGCGCCAGCCTGGACGCCTCCTCCAACCACTTCGTCGCGTACGGCCGCCACACCAGGTTCGCCGACTGGAGGTTCATCTTCCGGGCGCGGCTGGGCGTCCTCCCACTCCGGGGCTGCATCCGCGGCGTCAAGGACCTGGACCGCAAGTGCCGCTACTGCCACCAGTGGGACGAGACGACGGCGCACGTGCTGTGCCACTGCCAGCGCCTCTCGCAGGGCTGGCGCAACCGCCACTCCACTGTCGTGCAGCACCTCGTCGACGCCATGCCCGAGCACCGCCGCCAGCACCTGCGGCTGGAGCGCACCGTCGTGGGGTCCGGCTCCAACCTCAAGCCCGACATCGTGGTCCGCGACACTGTCCACAACGTCGCCACCATCATCGACGTCGCGTGCCCCTTTGAGAACAGAAGAACCGCTCTTGCCACCACCCGAGAGCACAAGATCAACAAGTACAAGGCGCTGGAGACCTACCTCGAGGGGCAGGGCTTCACCGTCATCCTGGACGCCGTCGTGGTTGGAGCGCTGGGCTCCTGGGATCCCCGCAACCAGAGGGCGCTGGCGGCGCTCGGGGTCAAGGAGACCAACACCCTGAAGCAGAAGATAGTCTCCGACGTCATCAAGTGGTCCAGGGACATCTATGTGGAACACGTGTCCGGAGTGCGGCAGTACACCGAGAACGTCCAGCCCCACATCCCCAGGACACCGCAGCAGCCCACCAATACCTAGAGGCTACACCCCAGCGCGCCCCCACGCCGTGGCGGCCGCAGACGGGGTGTCAACGGCCATGACTTCCAGCGCGGGACCTCACCCCAGGCAAGTACAATCCAGCTTTGCCTTCTACATCCAGTGCCGAACAGCCTCACTCGGCGGGGTGTGTGTCCTGCAGGTTCTTTTCGCCCCGCTGCGCCGCACCTGGACCACTTCGACGCCGCCCGCCCCACCACCGGCCGCCCCGCGGACCCACAGGGACGGGGCCGCCCAGAGGCTACACCCCAGCGCGCCCCCACACCGTGGCGGCCGCAGACGGGGTGTTAACGGCCATGCTGCACAGCGCGGGACCTCACCCCAGGCAAGTACACTCCAGTTTCGCCTCCACCATCCAGTGCCGAACAGCCTCAATCGGCGGGGTGTGTGTCCTGCAGGTTTCCTTCGCCCAGCTGCGCCTCACCTGGACCGCTCCGACGCCGCCCGCCCCACCACCGGCCGCCCCGCGGACCCACAGGGACGGGGCCGCCCAGAGGCTACACCCCAGCGCGCCCCCACACCGTGGCGGCCGCAGACGGGGTGTTAACGGCCATGCTGCACAGCGCGGGACCTCACCCCAGGCAAGTACACTCCAGTTTCGCCTCCACCATCCAGTGCCGAACAGCCTCAATCGGCGGGGTGTGTGTCCTGCAGGTTTCCTTCGCCCAGCTGCGCCTCACCTGGACCGCTCCGACGCCGCCCGCCCCACCACCGGCCGCCCCGCGGACCCACAGGGACGGGGCCGCCCAGAGGCTACACCCCAGCGCGCCCCCACGCCGTGGCGGCCGCAGACGGGGTGTTAACGGCCATGCTGCACAGCGCCTGCCATTACCCAGGGCAAGTACAATCCTTTTCTGCCCTTTACCTGTGACGCTCTCGGCCCGTTCTCTCCGTGGACTCCTCTGCCCCAGCCCAACACCCGCTGGCACTGCCGAGACGCCGCGTCGCAGGTCCGCCCGCCGCAGAGACCCCGTCAGCGCGGAGTATCGACGCCCGGAGTAGCGCCGCCACTGTCCGCGAGAGCGCCGCCCGTCCGCCGCGTGGAGTATCTCCGCCGCGCCAGCACCACCGGAGTAGCGCCGCAGTCCCCAGGCCGCGCGGGGTAGCGCCGCGCCGCCAGCATCGCGCAGTTTATGAACTTTTCCTATCCGTAGTTTATTCTGCTAGGCTCTACTTCTCTGCCTAGCAAATTTATTTTAAATAATTTAACTTCAAGTGCATCACTGCTTTTAGTAGTCATATTAGTATGTAAGGCGCACTGGGCGAGTAAATAAAGTATTTGAATACCTGCCCGGTCGCCATAGGGTTCACAACCTTAGCTCTCTCTCAAGTCGTTGCATCAGCGCAAGCCAGCACTACAACATTTTCTCTTAAAGCTTTGTAATTTCAATACCTAGGTATAATAAATTTTTATATAACCGAAGACACCTTCTGCACATCTTCTCGCATAGACTTGATTGTCTGGTCCGGTGTCTGGTCAATCTTCAGTCCAGTCGGGACACCAAGATGTTGGTATGCCTGGCCTTCTGATAGGCATGGAATTGGCTGTCCCTGGACGGTAGTTTGGGGCTGGCACGCACTTCTTCTGTTGGATGTGCAGCGTAGCGCATTTGGCGCCGTTAAACTCTAAGCCTAGCCAGGTGGCGGCAGCGCTGACCGCGTCTAGCAGTGCTTGCATACTCTGGCGACGCCATGCGAGTAGCACTAAGTCGTCGGCGTAGGCCAGACAGGTGACCCGCTGGCCGAGCACCACGAAGCCGTGGCACTCGCCGAGCCGCAGGGCAGTACGAATGAGTACTTCGATAACAAGGTTAAACACAATTGGGCTGAGGGGATCACCTTGTTTAACCCCAGCCTCCATCTTCACCAGGCGGGTCTCGCCGCTGGCCGTTACAAAGGTAGTGGTGCAGCCACTGTAGAGCTCTTCGATTATCTCGATGAGGTGCCTGTGGACTCCGTGCAGGCGGAGAAGGTGAAAGATGGCACTGTGCGGAACGGAGCCGAAGGCGTTTCTGAGGTCAAGCCACGTGACTGTCAGCTCCTTTCCAGAGTGCTTGGTCTCGTCGATTGCCTGCTGGAGTACAAAGTTGTGCTCAAGGCATCCTTCCGTTGGCATAAAGCCCTTTTGGACTTTCGAGATGGCACCAGTGCGGCCAGCCCAGCGACCCAGGCGATCGGCGAGGATGCCTGTATACAACTTGTAGATGCAGCTGCTTAGGGAGATTGGCCGCCAGTTGGTGAGGTCGGAAATGTCCCCCCTTCTTGAAGAGCAGGATGGTGCGGGCTTCCTTCCAGACCGACGGTATCCTCTTCTGCTGCAGGCACACGGTGAGTATGGCGGCGAGGACGTGGCCCCCGCGGTCCGCGGCCTTGAGGTGGCTGTACATGATGCCGTCGATGCCGGGGGCGGTGCTCGACACGTGTTGGAGCCGCCTCACCACGGTGGCGGCGGTGATGGGCTCGACGAGTTTGGGCTCTTCGGCCTGGCGGGGCGGCAAGACGAGGTCTGGAGGCCGTTCGTCCAGGTCCGGCGTCCTCCGAGCAAACACTTCGTCGAAGTGGGCGGCGACCTTCTCCGGCTCGACGGCGCAGAGCGGTGAGTCTTCCTCGCGCACCTCCCGCATGGCTTTCTTCTTGTTGGCAAAGTAGAGCTGTTGAATCCTCTTGGCCTCCTCCACGTCAAACTCGTCGTTGCGCTGGGGTTGGCGGGCGCCTCCTCCACGTCCTCGTCCACGTCCTCGTCCCCGTCCCCGTCTTGGGCCACGTCCTCTTCCTCGGGCGTTGCCTGCAGGTTTGCTGCGGGTGGGTTTCGGCTGCACGGACGCTGTGAAGGCGGCAACGACCTCCTCGAAGTCCTCCCAGCTCGCTGCGGCGTGGATCTTGTCAAGCCATTCCTGCTGGCGGCGGCTGACCTTGGCGGCGGGTGGAGTTGCCGAGCTGGCCGGGGACGGCTGGCTGTGGGGCGAGGTGCTGTCCACAGGGCTGGCGGCGCCAGGAGTCCTCGGAGCAGGTGAGTCTTGGAGGCGAGGAGCGAGTCTAGGCGGTGTGGACGTCGACGGAGGCGGCCAGACGCGTCCTGCACAGGAAGGACTGGGCAGAGGTGCGTCTCGACGGAAGAAAGCACATTGACCAGCAGCTACTTGCCTGGGGGAGGCAACCGTGCCTTGTTGAGTGGCCGTTGACCTCCCGTCCGCAGCCGCCGCCGGGGCCGAGGCCGGGGCAGGGGACTGCTGGGAGGTGGCCTCTGCCGCCAGGGGCGGGACGGGTGCTGCGGCGCTGGTCGTCGACGCTGAGGCACCTGAGCAGGAAGGCACGGCCCAGGAGTTGCTCCAAGATAGCAGAGTGGTAAAGGGATTGGGTACTACTTGCCTGGGGGCAGCACCCGTGCTGCGTAGCGTGGCCGTTAACACCCCGTCTGCGGCCGCCACCGAGGCCGAGGCCAAGGCGGGGGCGCGCTGGGGTGTAGCCTCTGCGGCGGCCCCGTCCCTGTGGGTCCGCGGGGCGGCCGGTTGAGTGGGCAGTGGCGCGGCCCTGATGTCCGGCGGCGACGGCAGCAGCACGTTCCTGACGATCGGGGAGCGGCGCAGCGCCGGCGGGGTCCTCGCCTTGAAGTGCAGTCGGCGGAGGCGGCTGGCCGTCGAGGTCGCCGAGGCAATCCGCGGAGACGGCCTGCACGGCGTCCGGTTGAACGGCGAGGGGAGGGCGCACGTCGGCGGGCTCGCCTGCCCCAGGGCTGCAGGTGCAGGAGAGGCACTACTACTCTGCGAGTGAGGAAGTACTTCAAGTCGTTTGGTTTGTACTTGCCTGGGGGCAGGGCCCTTGCTGTGTGACGTGGCCAGGACCGCCCCGTCCGGGACCGCGGCCGAGGCCGGGGAACCTGGGGCGGTAGCCTCTGGAGTCGCTCGGACTGTATCTTCAGTGCCTGACGCCGGGAGGGCAGGCAGCTCTTCTGGCTCGGGCGGCGACAGTGGAGCAGGCGCCGGCGAGGTAGGCCGCCCGTCCGGCACAGGCGGTGGTGGCGGCGGCGCGTCGCCCGGCGCCGGGCTGCTAGGCAGCCCACTCGACGCGGGCGGTGGAGGGGGCGGCGCGTCGCCCAGCGCCGGGGTGCCAGGCAACCCATCCGGCACGGGCGAGGGCGGCGGCGACTGGGCGGCCGGCTCCGGGTCGGCAGGCAACCCGTCGGGCATGATCTCGCAGACCGTCGCGTCGTGGTCGCCGTCCCCCTTGATGTCGTGGGCCTTGACGAGGTGGGGCGTCGCGGTGCGCCGGTCCGGGAAGAGGGCGTCGCACACGGCGCAGCGCGCACTGCTGTCCGCGACGCCGTGCATGCGCGCGACGTGCCGCTTGAGCGCTGACAGCGACCTCACGGGGCTCGCGGTCGGGCATAGCGGGCACGGAAAAGTCTTTCCCAGTGGCACTACAATGATGAGGCGCGACATGGCGGATGCAGCATGTGCGATGGCGCAGACGGTAGCGCACCGGCACGGCACGCGGGGGTCCCGGGATCGAGACCCACCGACCCGGACAGTTTTTGGCGGCGCGGCACCCTTGCCTTCGGGGAGAAACGGCGGGGCGTGACGTCACTCAAACACACTTGACGCGAACGGCACGCGGGAGACATAGCAGGCGACGCGCAACGCACACACAGATAGAAGGCGGTGCCCAGCGCAGAGAAGAAAAACAAGAGTCAGGCAGCATGGCAGCCATGCGGGCGCTATGGGCAACCTAACCTCAAAGCAGAGGGCGCGCACACAAAACAAAAACAAGGCAGTGCCCAAGCAGGAAGAAGAAGAAAAGAGTCTGAAAGCATGGCAAACATGCGGTGGCTATGGGCAACATAACCTCGAAGCTTGCGGCAGACGCACACAGCAGGATCACAAAACTAAGTCAAATTCTATCGGCCCAGCCATACAAAAGGATTAAAGTCACTTGCCATTCTGAAGTGGGTTGCAGACGCGGCTCCGGTGGGATAAACACACCAA